TAGGTTCCTTTGCCTCTAGAGCCCATGCTGTTAAGTGCTACACAGCATCACACCTCCATAGATAGTAAAGGAAATACATCTACAAGGTCAAGTAGGGCAAAACGGTCAATGTTTTCAAATATGGGTGTGAAACAACATGATTTTTACCTGTAGGCCATGATTCTTTGTGTTTAAAAGGACAGTTGTCCCACAAGTTGGTCCAAAGAGTTTCACACTTAGAATGAAACTATTATGGTTTGTTTGTTTTTTAATCCTCACGGGAGGATATGCTTAGAGAGAGGAGGAGGGAGGGACGAAGGGAGAGAGAAACATTGATGTGAGAGAGAAACATGGATCGGTTGTCTTTCGTAGATGCTATAACTGGGGAAGCTACCTGACACCCAGGCATGTGCCCTGACTGGGAATCAAACCGGCCACCTTCAGGTGCACATGACAGTGCTCAACCAACTGAGCCACTCTGGCTGGGCTTACGGTCTTTTCTTAAATCACAGGAGAAAAAAATTATGAGCTTGATTTTCTCAATTTTAAGTTTCTCCCAGAGATCTTTCTTAAATCTTGGAAAAATGGTACATTATAAAAAATCAATGGGTAAGTAACAGACCAAGTTTGGGAAATTTTAGTTGCTTATGCTTAGCTCAACTTTTTAAAATATATTTTTATTGATTTCAGAGAGGAAGGGAGAGGGAGAGAGAGATAGAAACACCAATGATGAGAATCATTGATCGGCTGCTTCCTGCACACCCTCTACTGGGGATCGAGCCTGCAACCGGGCATGTGCCCTTGACCGGATTGGAACCTGGGACCCTCCAGTCCACAGGCCGATGCTCTATCCCCTGAGCCAAATCGGCAAGGGCAGCTCAACTTTTTGGTTAAAGAATTATGTGTTCAACAGCTGTCATTTTATTATTTTAAGTTCAAAGGATTAATTGAATATGTTAATTCCATAACTGTTAACTCAATTTTCTGGTCATCTTAAGATTAAGGTGTTCTGCAAAATAATAATGTTTCTGTGAGAGCTGACAGCACTAAGATGATCAAATACATCGACATATTAGCAATATCTATTAGTAGAAACTAAAGAAACAAAAAGACAAATGCAAAAACAAATATAAAAACAAAAAGATAAAAAAATTGTATGATGACAGCATTGCTACTTGGGAACGCCCACCCCTACCAGACTAAGTCTCAGGCTGCACAGTTCATGAGAATCACACATGCCAGCCACATGTAACTTTATTTTTATTTTTTTAATTTACCTTGGAGCACGGAGGACGATGCCTGAGAGAGAGAAACATCCATGGGAAAGTGAAACATCACCGGGGATCGAGCCTCAAACCCAATTCAGAAAGCCAAGAGACATATGAAAACATGCTCAAAGTCACTAATCATCCGAGAGATGCAAATCAAAACAACAATGAGGTACCATCTCACACCTGTCAGACTGGCTATCATCAACAAATCAACAAACGACAAGTGCTGGAGAGGATGTGGAGAAAAAGGAACACTTGTGCACTGCTGGTGGGAATGCAGACTGGTGCAGCCACTATGGAAGACAGTATGGAGTTTCCTCAAAAAACTAAAAATGGAACTCCCATTTGACCCTGTGATCCCACTTCTAGGAATATATCCCAAGAAACCAGAAACACCAATCAGAAAGGATCTATGCACCCCTATGTTCATAGCAGCACAATTCACCATAGCTAAGATTTGGAAACAGCCTAAGTGCCCATCAGTAGATGAATGGATTAGAAAACTGTGGTACATCTACACGATGGAATACTATGCTGCTGTAAAAAAGAAGGAACTCTTACCATTTGCAACGGCATGGATGGAACTGGAGAGCATTATGCTAAGTGAAATAAGCCAGTCAATGAAGGAAAAATACCACATGATCTCACACATTCATGGATAATAGAGACCATTATAAACTTTTGAACAATAATAGATACAGAGGCAGAGCTGCCTCAAACAGATTGTCAAACTGCAGCGGGAAGGCCGGGGAGGGTTGGGGGGCAGGAGGGAGGGGGGTAAGAGATCAACCGAAGGACTTGTATGCATGCATATAAGCATAACCAATGGACATAAGACACTGGGGGGTAGGGGAGGCCAGGGGATTGTCAAGGGCGGGGGGGAAAGGAGGCATGTGTAATACTCTTTGTAATACTTTAAGCAATAAATAATAAAAATAAAAAATAAAATTTAAAAAAAAAGAAAGGGGGCATTTAGCCCCAATAATTCTGTTAAAACAGGACTTTAACTAAGAAATGAATTTTTAAAAAATATTTTAGCAGTTGTTTTCACCACATTTTAACTAGTCTTGCTGTAGTTGTGACGACTTGGGATTATCCATAACCTCCCTCCTCCTCCCTTTCCATTTCTGCACTCCCTAATTCTCTAGACTATTTCAAAATTATAAATAAAACAAAACATACTTCCGGGTGTTTTCCACAACCTGAACAAGCTTAAAAATCTGCACAGGTACAGGCAATGGAAGGCACTGAAGGATTGCGAAGAGGGAATGGAAACAATGTTTGAGTCAAGTATCAATGTCACAGGGGGAGCTCCAGGAGGTAGCTGGAAAGGCGCCAGTTCAGAGTGTTCCACAGAAGTCTTGAACCAGAGTTCTCACACCGATACTACAAGGACAAAGGCCAGACGCCCTGGCCCTGTGGTAGTGACTCAACTCTAGTAGTGATTCAACTACATCTCATAAATGCCAGACGAGGGAGAAGAAGGCTGCCACAGAGAGTGACCAAAATAGTCAAGTCAGAAGGGAGCTCCCCTCTTGCCTTCCCGCCAGGAGAAGCGGAGCAGAACCATTCTGCAAAGATTTGGTTGTGGCGAGCATTTGCTTTCTCTTAACTCATTGACTCGACACCAGACCAAATTCTCATTTATTATCAGAGTACCTATGATAAATTTAAACAGTAGCCGATAAATTCTGCTCGTGAAAAAAAAAATACAAATTTCTGGTGTGTCTACACATTTTGGAAAGGAGGTGCGGGTGGGGGTGGGGAAAGACTGTACTTTAGTGGTGAACAGGTCAAAGTACATCAGCCTTCTATTTTAACGCAAACGATGACTAAACAGTTCAAACATTACAGTGACAGCATGTTTAACAGTTTACTATTTTTACCGGATGACATTATGTATTTACCAATGCTGACCATGTAAAATTAAGGAAATCAAAATTATAGCTGAATATTTCTCAACTCTTTAAACAATTCTGCTTGTTACTCAGAAACCTCTCCCATTAGGTTATGCGTTTGAAAGGTAAAATGATTCAGATATTACAATTATTTTAAAGAATGAAAAAGCATCCAGAGCTTTTGAAGACATGGACTTGGCCGTTTCTAGAATACAGACTCAAATCGGGTGAAGAAAACGTCTTGGTCCAAGTTTTCAAAATGTGAATCTACTGCTAACTTCTGCACTTTAACATAGTTCACTTTATGCCCGTTTCGCCTCAATTTATTAAAAGAGTAAACCTACAAGTTCCTTTCTAAACATACCAGATTGAATCAACACTGCTTTCAAGTTGGCTTTGCTCCAACCAATCCGTTTTTGGGGTTTTCGTTTGTTTCTCGATTGTACAGCAACACGTATGGTTGGGTCATCAACATAGACGCTCCTGGGGCGCTGGGGGTGGGGGGTGGGAGAGTGCTAACAACAGAGTAGACCTTACTACTGAAAGCAAGAGAGGAACGGGTCGGAAAAAGAGGCCACGAACCAGTCCCGAGTGATGTTGCGTTTAATGAAGGTTAAGTTACAGTTTAGAGAACTTCTGGGTGCGATGCGCCCGGCAAGATCTGAACAGACGCATGAAGACACCGGGCTGAGCTGGGTGGGACGCAGCGCGCGTTTCATCCTCGATGACAGCACCCCCGCCAGCCCTGCGGGTGCTTGGCCGTACGCAAAGGTTGAAAACGCAAAGCCAACAAACCCGCCGAGCCGAGCTGAACGCGCACGCACCCCAAACTCTGCAGCGCTGCGTTCCCGTTCCTTAGGAGACGGGGGGACCTAACACCTGGCCACGGGCTAACCAAGGCTTCGGGAAAGCGGAGGATGGGCTGGAAGCCGAAACACCAACCATCCACCGGCTCCCCAGCGGCCTTCCACGCCCGCCTCTGCACTCTGCATGCAGCACAGGTGGACCTCGGCGTCCAACCAGCGCGCCCCCGGCCACTCATTCCGGAGACGAACCCCAGCGCGCCATCCCCGCGCGCCTCCAGGAAACGGGGCCTCCCGGGTCCCAGGGACGCCCACTCGTAAAAAGGAACGGGGGTCCGGCC